CGACAGTTTTTAAAAATTTGTCTGCCTATGTTGATATTACTAAACCCTCCTTTACAATATTTCGGGTCTCTCCACCGCTAACCACACAGTGGTCAATCCGATAATTTGGAGCGATATTTTCTTCTTTATTGAATTCTCAAAGTATAAAGTGCCGTAAGTGGATTTTTGGGAAATCCACTGAAATTGAAATTTTAGGACAGAATAACTAACTTTCTCCAGCAAAACGTGATAACTACAATACTATGTAATGCTATAATAAGCGAAATAAGTAAACACAATTCATTCGTAAAGAAGGGATTGATAATACAAAAAAAACAAATATATATTTAAAAATAGCCATTACATATGGAATGAACTTATACTTATCTCAGATGTAATTCTTCTCTTACATGCCAGCCCAATATATGGAAAGTTATATTTTTTAGGTACTTTTTATGACTTAGGAAAGTTAGAACATAGGTAAATAGGACAAGTTTAACGTCGAAGAGTAACAATTCTTGGTTGAGTAGAATTTTTCAGAGTATGCACTAGTCATGAAATTTTATCAAGTGACATGGTAGAATTTGTAAGGCGTGTACTGGATTTTAAAGTTTTGTTGTAACTGTAAGTGTTCAGGTTTTTGTCTGATTTTTTCGAGAGTCTTGAAAGGAGTGAATATAATAGTCGTTGATTTAGCATTTTTCTTTTTTTATAGTTAGGTGGGACTCATTCATTCTTCTGTCAACCAAGTCTGTTTGAGGTAAATTGACATTGTGAAGGAGAAAAGTAGGGTAAATTTAACTTCGAAGGGTTAAAGTAATGTAAGCAAAGTAAATTGGCAAGAACTATTCCAATATAATAAATTAACGAATGTAATTTAGACTCCTATTCCTAATTAGGTTAATAGTCCATGGTTCAGACCCCGTTTTATGAAATTAACATCCGGCTGAAATTTTGTAAATATCTACATCTAATAGTAAACTACAAATATTTTATTTACGCAAATTCTTGGAATTTGGGCGTTTTCAATCTGGAGATCGTTAAACTTTTTTTATTTAATTAGGTATTAAAAAGTATTCACTTGTTTTCCACCTGAATCTTAAGATAAAGTTAATTTTACAAGAAAAAGTGGCATTCAAAAATATTGAGCTGTTTGGCGTGACAAATACACTGAAAATGTCAAAATAACGAGACCAAAGGGCCCAATATTTTGTAGGCCACCTTTTCTCTGAACTTGTGATTAAATTATCTTACAATTCAAGTAGAAAGCAAATGGGTACATACGAATTTTTAGGGTCTAATTCAATAAATAAAGTTTGACGATCTCCAGTATGAAAAAGCCCCAATTCCAAGAGTTTTCGTAAATAAAATATTTGTTGGTTACGATTTGATGAAGATATTTACGAAGTTTCAGGCAGATGTTATAATACATGCATGGGCTATAATATATTTGTAACGATGTTCATGTCGCTTAAGCTATCATGATAAACATGCTTATTATGTTAAACACCATTCCAAAGAGGTTTATGTCGATCAACTCACACTCTTGTAAAAGTATTCTCTTAACCAATGTCATTTAGATTTTTTCAGTGCGACATATTACTTGCTAATAACTCCAATTACGAAGCCAGGAAGACATCTTGGACCGTTTACAGTTTGAAGAGATCCGGAGAGGCACTCGGTGAGGCGGAGCTGCACTAATACCTACTACGTGCTCTAGGAACCTCCACGAGGCTTCTATCTCGTTACTTCTGAGATTGTTCTGTCAGTTCTTAACTGAGGAGGATTTTGGCCAAAGTAAATGGTCTACCTTTCTACGGAGCCACTTTACTCTTGCAATCTTGTAGTTAATCAGTTCGTTATTGACCCAAGGGAAGAAAGAGTATTCTCTATCAAGTAATATATATTATAATAAATATTCCAACTGTGAGTTGATGGTTGACTGTCGTGAATAATGAAAAGAAGGTTGGGGTTAAATAATAAAAAGGCAAAACTATATAATTTTTGCAGACATTTCGACCTGAAATTCAGGCCTTCATCAGGCCTGTTCGAAGAGATTTTGCCTTTTTATTTCTGACTGATCATTCCTGCCATCCTTCTCTTTATTATATATTTCACTTTTTTTTTAAATAATCGAATAAGTCATTGTTTTTGGTTTATTATTTTAAATAATCAACCTTTGTGATGGACCAAAAAATAGTTAATCCGACCTTAAAATTTGAGGCTTTACGTTTTAAGATACATACATTATGAAAATCGAAAAAAAAAAATTTCCGAGGCGTTTTCCTATTTGCTATCGATGTCAAACAGCATCGAGGATGGTCTTTGGAACTCAGCATTACCATCCACCCTTACTAGTCCGTGGTACATACACCTTTTTATCAAATTAATAACATCCGTCTGAAACTTCGTAAATAAATAGCTTCAATCTCATCATAACTTTCAAATATTTTATTTACGAAATTGGAGTTTTTCTTTTACGAAGATCGGCAAACTTTGTCTATTCGATTAAATACTAAAACACATGAATACCCTTTTGTTTTCCACTTGAATCATACAATAATATGAACACAATGTCGAAAAAAAAGGTGGCTCTCCAAAATATTGGTCCATTTGGCGTGACCTCCACCGTCAATACGTTAAAATAACCAGCATATAAAGGCCAACACCCAATATTTTTGTAGGCCACATTTTTTTTTTTTTCGATTTTGCGATCATATTATCTTAGATTCAAGTGGAAAGCAAATAGGTATGTTATAGTACCTAATTAATAGATAAGGTTTGCCGATCTGCAGCTTGAAAACGCCCCAATTCTGAGAATTTTCGTTAATAAAATATTTGTAGGCTACGATGAGATGAAGTTATTTACGAAGTTATACGCGGATGTTAAGATTTCGATAAAAAGATGTCTGTACCAGAGACTAAATCTTTCAAGACCTCGGCTGAAAAACCTGTGTCGCCATAGCATGTAGATCCTATCGGGGTGTACCGACTTCAATGAAGCCAACATGTTTATTTTGATGCCTGGATCAATATTTTTTTGAGGTTGGTGCCAAGTTAGTGTTGATGTACTTACTTATGCATTAAAAAAAGTTCTGTTGTTGATGATTCTACAGTATGCTGTCAAAAAGAGAAAGTAATACATTCTGATTTTGGCTGTTTTATCATATTTTCTAAAGGGAATACAATTTGTGCAAATTAAATAAGTAATTTTGAAGAGTCATTGAGTTCAATTTCGTAACACTAGAGAATTCCAGGGCATTAGAAATTTTTATTTAATGTAATGAGATATATGGCTGTTTTATAAATTTTATTTAGTTTTGTTTTGGTCAGCTTGTGAAGGAATGATTGGAATATCTGGCACTGGGAACTGTATTGGGAAGGTCAGCGGTCGGCCAACTTATTTTTCAAAAAATCTAAATATCAAAGATGCAACGTTTGAAATTCGTTTTTATATATATTTTTGTTTTTAATTTTAACTTTATTGATAGTCAATATATAGTTTTATTATTACTAAGCAACCGTACTCCAAAGTTAGCTTCAGTTAAAATATCCTCAATCTTATTTTACTAAGTTCCCTCAGGTCAAAAACTTTCAATTCTTCCATCCATACTCGTATTTTATACTTATATTATCCATCTTCTTTCGATTCTTTCTAAATGACATCTCAAAGTCCATTTCTCGGAAGAATAACAATAATTGTTTCGATACCTTGTTTGCCATTTATTTCGTTGTTTGTTTTTCTCTCCGTTTGCTGTTTCATCGCTCATTATGAAAAGAATAGATGAATATTTTAAACAATATATTTAAAAGTATGATTATGAACAATATTTGACTAACACATAATAACAAGAGATATATTTTGAATTAATTATTTCTTTAGATATGTGTTAATAAGTTTAAAAAAATCTATATTTCAAATTCAAATAATTCCAGACTAAATTTAGAGAACCGTTTCATTCTTTTCAAAGCTGTTATTTTTTTATTAAACAAATGAAACGGACCCCCGTATAGAATATTAATTTATGACATATCTTTGTAAGTTCGTTTAATGCAATTTCTTTTTTAATATTTCATAGGAACTGTTTCGATTTATAAGTAGTATAAGAAATCCTCTGAAAGAGATATACTCAAACTGGCAAACTTTTGGCAAAAAATTAAGTAGTAATTTAATGACCAATGAGGTATGCTGATGTATATATATGCTATGGTTTCATTTTCTATCTTCATGAGATCAATAGATGGGGTAAATACAAAAACATTTTTTCTTCCAAATTAGTAGCAATGATACTATCTCAAATTATTTTTTGATTAGATTTAATTTTTTAAAAAAAGTAAATGCTCTAAAGCAAAAAAGGAAGCTATAGTAGTCCAAAGTTTTGAAATTAACAAGAAGTATTTTTACAATATAATAACACAAATAATACATGGTCTTCCATAATATACTGCATTAAAATATACGGAAAATTTATTTTATTATTTTTGGGAAATATTTGAAAAATCTTTGTGAAATAAATGATTATTAATATCCTCTATTTAGGGAGGGAAAATACACTTTTTCCGATTCGGGAGTGAGTTTATGTATTGGAGGGGGGAGGGGAAGGGCCGGTGGCATCAGGTAATCCAATTAGCCTTCCCTACCTGAATTTACACCTCATTGTGCACCTGATGAAATTTCCGCCATAACCCACTTTACGGCACCAGTTGTTTTGTCGCCTGCTGGGGAATTGTCTCCCTTAAATTAATGCCAGGGTCGTATACCATTCTCTTGTTGAATTTCATATATTAAGAGGACTTTAGTTTAAAGGGGTTTTAAGGACAATATAATGAAAAAGCTCATTTAAACTTCATTTAAGTATAATTAATATTTAGTTAATGATATAGAGAGATACTGAATAATTTAATAAGAAAATAACATTTTTAGAAAAGCACCTACTTATATGTTTATTGCTTTATTTAAAGGATAGAAGCTATAGCAAGATTTTCATTGCAGAACTATAGAAAAAGTTCCAAACACACTCTTACAGAAGTATCCTTGTGGCAGAAGTAATGATTGCACAGGACTCACCTTGGAATTCCTTTCGGGCAGCGGAGACGCTGGTGACGATGTTGGCGACGTGACCAAGGACGGTTGCGAAGAGGAGGAGACCAAACAGCAACTGGAGGATGACGAACACGTACTCTCCTTTACTTCTTGGTCGAGGAAGATCTCCGATCGTCGTCAGGGCGAGGGTGCACCAATAGTAGCTCTGCAGGTATTGCTTAACCACATCAGCTGTTTCCGAATCCCCAAATACCCAGTTTTTGGACCCAAAACCGTTGTTCTTATATATTATCCTGTACAGGCACCCGTTCCAGTGGAATATCACCAAAAGGTAATGTATGAGGCTCGTCGATCGGAACAGGTTTGGATAGTTCGTGTGCCTCTCTGTCCGATCCATGAAGTTCCAAAACCTGTAGATCTTGACGAGGCGAAATGAGCGGAGTATCGAGTTGAAACCTATCGATAGGTAGAGGAAGTCGAGCGGGAGGAGGCAGAGGCAATCGATATAGAACGTGGTCGAGTTCATGTAATGAGTACGGAGCTTGGTCGAGTCCGTCTGAAGCACCCCATCCTCGAGGTAGCCAGTCCTGAAGTGGAAGAGGATGTCCACCAGGTAGAGTAAGTCCGCGAAGTAGTCCAAGCAGAACCACACCAGGATAGAATCTCCTGCAAAGTATCCAGTACTCAGTATATGCATTTTTATTGCAATACAAAATATATTTAATAACAAATCTTTATGTCGGATTGTATTAATTTTTTCAAATACTTCAATAATTACAGAACAATAATTCTTTAGTACTACTTAATTAATAAATAGTTCAAGGAATAATTTGTTTAAATCAAATAGTTGCTTACTAATCTATTATAAATGTAATTTTATTATAGTAATTAATTTTATTTCAATTATTGTTATTAATGGTATAGATGCAAAAAATGAGTAAATAAGTGAAATAAAGTATTGTAAATTCCTTGTTGGACTATGGAGTGTTGGGAACGGAATCCGTAATGATGTGAAGGAAGGTTTTGAGATTCTATAAAGGGTAGGATTCGTTTCAATAGGATGTTTTCAAGGATTTTTGAAAGGATTGGATGTAGGCTAATGGGTCTGTAGGAAGTTAAGCTGTTGGGAGGTTTTCCTGGTTTTGGAAATAGGATAATAGTAGAATGTTTCCATAAAAGAGGAATGTGGGTGGTTCCTAGGATGCTATTGTATATGTATGTAAGGAATATGACAGCTTTAGGAGGGAGTTGTTTAAGGATCTGAGAGCTAAAAAGATCGTATCCAGGTGATTTGCGGGTAGGTAGTTTTTGTATGTGATATTTAACTGCTTTAGGCGGTGAAGAGAGTGGGATGTGTGAACTAAGGAAGTCCTAGACTGCTGACGTGTGAGTGAGGTTGGATTCCAGATGAGAGGTGAATGTAAGGGAAAAGTGTTTGGTGAATTCCTCGGCTTTATTCGAAATAACAGAAACATAATATGACTAATTTAATTGAAAAATGCCCGATTTTTGAAAATTTACACAGATAAAAAAATTGTAGATTACGACAAAAATTAAGCCACTAACGAAGTTTTAGACAGATGTTAATGATTTGATAAAACGGGGTTTGTACCTCGGACTATCTTACATAGACTCAAAATAGCTTTCTGCCAAATATGAAAATACATTAATAAATGCTATACTCACGGTTGATCTCCTGGAAGGCGAACCTGTAGATGATGACCCAGAAATTGTACAAGAAGGCGATGGACACTACCATGGACCAGTAGTAGCAGAGCCTGCCGGCCGGGTCGAAGACTATGGAGAAGGAGTGGTCGGGCCGGCCGTGAGCGGGGACCGGCTTGGGCCTGGCGGGCCGCCTCATGGCGGGGGGCCTTCGCGACAGGTCCATCTCGGAGCAGACCCCTCGGCTCCCGCAGGCTGCGCCGCTACCACCGGACATCGAGTCCCGCCATCGCGACAGGTATCTCTGCCAACCAACCAAACATATTTAACAATATTACACTACATCTTTCATAGAATACATCAATTAAATAAAGTTAAAAAAGAGGTGAACAATTATTATTAAAATATAGCTTTTAAAAACCAGTGAGATCGTTAACATTCTATAGCTTTCCCTATCCTTATTCGATGTATAAGGACATTAACAAAACATATTGATACATATATTTTTCACATCTTACAATTCACATATTCCATCCACTCCCGTCCCACTAGATCTCGTACTTCCGACCTCTATCCTCCTCCTCACCGAACGACTGCGTTTGACAAATCCTTTGCAGTTCAAGCCGCCTCCCTCTGGAACTTCATCCCAGCTGATATTAGACACGCACAATCAGTTTCCTCTTTCAAACCTCTCCTCTTTAAACTATGAAATATACCTGAGAGAAATATCTAAGCACTCCCCCAGAGACCACCTCAATTTATTTAGGTAATTTTAGTTTCTTATACATATATGTACATTTTTCTTGTTCTTTTCTTTCTCTTCTTCAGTATTTTAATTTTTAATCAATTCTTATTGTAAATATATAATCTAATTGTGAGCACACAGACATACAATCTGTACTTATAATTTGTTCTAAAGAGACAACAGTCCCAGAATAATAAAATGTTTTTCATTTTCATTTTCATATTAACAACGTGATATTTTCAAGATTGTCAATATTTTTTTGTTAACTTAATTTTTTTACCCACTCCAGTCCGAAGTATTGACAATCAGTGAGTCTGTTACCGGGAAGAATACTGATAATACCTTGATCGACTTGCGGGAGGCTAGTGCCCCGTAACATTCTTTACTCTATCTTAGTTTTAGTTTACTTTTTAAAGACGAAGATCCCTCACTTAGCTTTTTTTGTGCTATGATAAAGAAGTTGTTTTAAATAGGCTCTTCAGATTAGCCTAATTTGACGAGTACGTTGCTGTAATATCATAGCCATATAAAATCCTTTAATACACAATTTCAGTTTCGTACGTCCTTATGTTTTTGAGCTAGACTGTTCACACATACAATTCGTAAATGTTTACATCCGCAATACTTTCCCTTTCTATGCATTTCATATATACGTAAGTGACAGTATGAAATATGTATTGAAAGTGTCTCTCACCACTACGCTGAGTTAAAGTGGCTTTTTCCCTCCTTTGAAGACAACATTTCCTAGGTACGTTCCTCTATCGAATTATCAACAACCATCGTCCTTCTTGCGCCTACAACCATCTCCAGTTCAAATCCTCAGTCCATTCCCTGTCCACAAGATCTCGACAAGATTCTAACATGCCTTCTCACAGATCTGTTTCATTCCAAAACTCCTTTATTGCTCGCTCGGTCAATTTCTGGAATTCTCTTCCTATCAAAATTCGACATTCCCCATCCATATCCACATTCGAAACCCTCCTATTCTAATTTCTATCCCAAAAACAGTCAGATATTTGCTAACCATTCGACAACATACATTTATTTCATGCCATTCATTGTCAAATATCAATGCTAAATGATAATGTATTTATATATTAATCAGGCACTTAATATTGCCAGATTCAGCTTTCTGTTTTCTCAACAGAAACACAAAGCTTATTTTAATAAAGAATTTAATATATTTTTATTTTTTATTTCTTTATTGCTTTCTTAAAAGTGTATACTGGTCTATCAGTGCAAATAGCATTAAGTATCTTGTCATAGTCTTAATTGTTTTGTATATAGTTTCGTTTGTTTTGTATATAGAATGTTTTCTTTACATTATTTCTTTTTTTCCATTGATTTTATTTTGGCCAGATGTAATCTCTTAATTTTGTTATTTCCAAGGAACTGTGCCCCAGAATAACGTTATTGTCTATCTATCTATCTATCTAAAGTAAAAAAAATGTAATCTAAACACTCTAAATATTACTTTAATAAAGTTTACTGTTGGATTAGTAAATTTAATATCTATTTTCTCTTGGCATATGTTGTGGCATGCTTTAGGTCTTCAACTGGTACATGCACTATATGGATCGATACCATGCAATGATACCACCACTGATGGAATATTATTGTAAAATCGAATTTCGTATTTGGCGATTGGACTAATCTGTTGGTGGATGGGCTTGAGGGCCGTCAGGCCATTTTGAGGCTGTTATCGGCCTGGCAGGGGCCTATTGATTGGGTGATTAATTGTCGCAGTTGGGTCAACAATGGATTGCCCGATCACTGCTCTGTATCAATGCCCATAATCTCATCATACAAGGCAATCCAATATTGGAATGGCGTCCAATGTACCCTCCTCTTCCGAGGATAATGTCCTGACCGCTTCCATCTTGTTAGTCTCAAAAGCAATCGTATCGTCCTCAAATGTACGCAAATTTAAATCGTGTTCGGAAAATCAGTATCTCCTACTATACTTTGATTATATCGTGTATGAAAAACTAAAAAAAAAACACACAGTATTTTATTTCCTTTCTTTTTGGCTTTGTAGGTTTTTTTTAATTCTGTGTATCCTTTTTGTTTTAACCCCTAAGTTTCTTTCCAACTTTTGTTACATTAATTATCTTATTATTTTAACTTCGTCGCCTTTATATCACCAAATATTGACCAGATTATTTAAGGAGTTCTTAGATTGTTCTCCTCCTTCATGCGTTAGTTCGCTACTCCAGGATCGCTGCGGTTATCGTGCGGAAGACATTCTTCTCATCTCGTTTAGTTCTTTCTTACGGGGTACTAGTTAGAGTCTATAGCTATATTTTTTAGACCCTTTATTTGAGAATTATTTATTCGGCATATATCGTACTCACTACACTTGGAATAGAGAAGAAACATCTATTTATGTTGATTATACACTGGTCAAACAGTTGTTCATTTATTGAAGTCATTTTGGAGATGAGATATTTGAAAATCTAATGATGTGAATCGTTTTGATTTATATAACTTTTGTTTTTAATATTAGTAATATGTTTTTAAATATGTTTTTAAGTAATTTTTACATTAGTTTAGATTGTTTAAGTTTGGTCGGTTCGATAAAGATTTACAATAAATATCAACTCATTTAATTCAATATTTTATTATTTTTTTATTCAGAGAACTTATCTTTTTTATCGTTTATTTAATATATTTTTTATTTATTTAGAAACATAATATTGTCACTCGGACAATAATTATAGTGATATATGAACAAATTCACACCATTTATACATAAAACATAAAATTAACAAAAGTAAAATATTAACTAAATAATAATCAAACAACTAGGTACAGTAAAAAATAAAATAACCTAAAGATAATTAAATTAAAAACTCAGTAATACCTATATACAATATATACAATCAGGTAGGAAACCCCAAGCCAAGCTTGTCTCCTTAACTAAAGAGGGAAAAGCAGGACTCCATGAGATCCCCGCGCTACTTTCGTAATCGCGTCACTGGCATTAAAGCCAGTGGAGATCGAGCGAGAGAGCTTTAGCCACATACACTCATGTCTTGAGTGGAGAATTTGGACATTACCAGAACTCCAAGGTATATAATGCAAAAGATATCTGGGCTACTGCCGCTTCAACCTTCCAGGAGTTTATTGTTTATTATCCGTTTTAATTTTACTTTATTATTAATCAAATGTAAAATTCATTAATTTTTTTTCATTATTTGCTGACGTGGAAAAATAAATAACCAGATTCTGTTTCGTTTAATATCACACAGTCCATTATTTTTGTTGTATGATCCATTTTTTTTTCACAACTGTCAGTTAAGCTTTATTTCAAGTTTTCATATAAAACATTGGACCATATTTTTATATTATGATATGTCGGGAAATAATATGAATACATTTTCATTTCGATCAATGATAATTTTCAGCAAACTTCAGATAGAAAACCATCTCTGTATTTTTCTTGAATAAGGTATCCTATGGTTTTCAGTTTATTAATTGAACTATTACCGATTTTTTATATACATTTAGACAAATGTATATCTAATAATTGCAGTTTTGTTATTTTATAAGGCCAATCATTTGCAGAAAATAACTCATTTTTCCAATGATGTCAACATCATAGCACCTAAGGCTTGGTGTCTATCTAATACTGTTTTGTCTTTGCTTCCTCCCCTGTCATCGTGCTGAAGTAGGAGGCACCTGTTGCAATGAACTTGAAATATCCTTGGGGATGATCCGCTGTCAGCTCACTCTAACGAAATCCTAGGCATGTGAGACTGTCCATCACCCAAATCCATCCCAACGATCCCTCGCCCAAACCTCAGTACTCCAAAATTTTATTCCATTATCTCAAGGTATCTTGTAAGCTTTTATTTTTTTAAATGTTTAAAAATTTAAATATTAGTTCGCATTTATTTTTTAATAGTCAACTATTTGGTCCGTACAAATAACATGCATTGTATATTAATCAAAAGACCAAGTAACAGAAAAGTCAAAGCGATGTATAATAAGATGGAGAAATTAATTTTGTTTCCCCTGTCGTCTACAATGGTTCTTTTTTATTACCTTTTATGTCTGTATATTTTAATTATTTATTTTATTAAAATAAAGAATTAAGTTTCAAGAAATATTTTCTTTCCCATAAAAGTGCCACTGATAGATAATACTATTTATTTATATTTCATTAAAGGAAGTTAGTTGTTTTGTTATAATTTGTATATATATATATATATATATATATATATATATATATATATATATATATATATATATATGTATATATATATATATGTATATATATATATATATATATATATATATATATATATATATATATATATATATATATATATATATATATATATATATATATATATATATATATATATAAGTTAACTGTATATTGGATTTATAAAAGATTATTCTTAAGATAGGCCAAATAATTGTTCAAAAAACACATGTTAATATAGAGAATTGATAGATAACCAAAAGGTGAGGTTACAAGAATGTTGTAAATTTACAGTGTCGAAAACTTATACTATAAAATATACCAGTTCGAAATAAAGCCACTTCATTTCCACAAGCTGTGTTGTTATTTCTTCAGTCGAATCATAACTTAAATATATATATATATATATATATATATATATATATATATATATATATATATATATATATATATATATATATATACCAACGGTTAAACAAACAAAAAAAAAAAATATATATATATATATATATATATATATATATACAAACTTTATGGTTTTATGGTTATATACAAGTTCTATTGCTTTTATCTATAGGATTAATTTTTATTTAACCATCTTTTATAGAAGAATACTATGTGAAATGGTCAATTACTTCCAAACAAAAAATACATATTAATGGTACTTCAGAGGAATAAATTTTGAAAATTAATCATTTACGGATAAGAGGATATTAATTCGTATAAAATCTATATTATACCGCGTGGGTCCATAAGTTCGTTTGGATTTTGAAGGGTGAAGTCAAACAATTTTTTCTTCATGTTAAGAATAAATATTACTCAATAATTCATTCGGCGTTTTTATTGATGACCTCTTGCCTTCTTTCTAACAATTTCATTATTCTGCTCTCGTGAAACATCTTGGGCTTACAAGCGAAGAACTGATCGAGATATACGTTTTCATGTCTCTCTCATCAGCGAACGTCTTCATGTACAACGAGTTTTGGAGGATATAGAATAAGTGGCAGTCGATTGATGCAAATCTTCGGAGAATACGGTGGGTTAAATAAAACAATCCCAGCCAAGTTGCGCTAACTTTTGCTGTGTGGTTATTGCGGGATTTGGTCTGGCGTTGTAATGGTGGAATACACAACCTTTAGGAGTGACTAGTTATGGGAGTTTCTGTCGCAATGGTTGGTCAGATTCCGTTAGGTGGGTGTAGTTGATCTTCGAATTTTCGGATGTAGGCCTTCGGGAATGGTATTAGGTGGCTCGTCAGCAGTTGATCTCCTGCGTACTACATTGTCGTAGATGATGCACTTTTCGTCATCCGTCTCAATTCGTTTGAGAAATAGGTCTCTTTCGTGCCGGTTCAGAAGATAGTTGCAAATTGATATAAGGCCTAGCTGTTTTAAATGTTTTTCAACGGTTCTAAAATTTATTTTTAGTGTCTCTGCAATTTCTCGTACCTAGAGCTAACGGTTTTGTTTGATTAGAACCTCACACGAAACAACCTCGATAACCAGACCGGAGCGAAATGCATCACCAAGACTCATATCTCTAGAACGAAATTTGGAAAAATATTTTTGAATAGTACATTCTGTTAAGGCATTATCCACGTATAGCTCCATATCTTTCTGTGGTCCTCCGAAGTTCGCTTACCTTTTTTGCAATAAAAAAGCAAAATATGTTGAAAATGTCCTTTATCATTTGAAATATTTATTACGCTGCAGAACAAACAAAACTAATGCCAATAAAACCAAACAGAACAATTTTGAAGAGTGGACTTCGACCTTACTGAAAAAAATCATTATTGCCAAACAAGGCAAGAGAGAAGTGGAGATATTTTAAGACAATTCGCACTATTAACAAAAAACGAGCGAACTTATGGATCCACCTAATATTAAAAATATTTTAATTTTAGAAATACTTGAAAGTACATCTGTATATTTAATGTAGATGATTATGGATTGTACGAATAATAGTTATTAAACTCTTACTTTTTGTAAAGTTTACTAAAATAGAGTTACGAGATTTTCATTATCTACCATCTATAGGTCAAAACTTGTTGCACTAATTATAATTGGGCTATATTCAGATTTTACGGAGGGAAAATTACTCACTAATTTAACTTTCTAAAATATTACATGATTTTTCGGGATAAACAAACGATAGATAGAATAAATTACTAATCAGTAATATAATCAACAATAAATAAACATGTACAAAAGCATAATGATGGAAAATCTCTTGAAACGTTCCACTGCCATCATCACCGCTGCTCCTTAGAATAATGTTGTTATATTGGATCTGTTAAGTTCTCTCAGATATTTAGTAAAAAGTTTCTGAAGGCTAAATTTATTTCGCAAATATTCAGAGAAAATATCGCGTCATTGCTGAGTCGTGCAATAAAGTACTTTTTGATCCATTAAACAAATTTAGAGCTCACTTATTTCAGTCACATGTTATATAGTTACAATGAAAAATATTATGTAATATAATTATATTATATTTTTATGGATGCATCTGGTTTCGCTCGGCCCAGAAATAAGACCTGCAGCCGAGGTCGAGACCTCAGTACACATTAAAGTATATTAACCTTTATTTAATTGTTATTATTTCTTTCTCACCGCAGCAACAATAATATCTTTGATAAAAATTGTTCCTTATTTACCGCAGCAACAGAAAGCTCAGTAAATTTCATAAATAGATACTTTTTGATTTAAACAACCGTCAATTCAATATTATAATTAAATTAATTTATACTATTTTTTCACAAAATAATCTAAAATCCTATAAAATGCTAAGACTGTTAAACTTGTACGGAAAAGTTCCAGGTTGGCGAAGTCCGCTAGAGGGGTGCATCGGGAAGCAGGAGCAACCTAATTATCCCTTGTTACAACAACCTCTTTTGTTGTTGTTAGAAGAAGAGTTTTCCTCTCAAGAAAACAATCCATAGGTGGCTTAGTTTTTGTTCTTTACGATAATATTTTACCTATTGTGTCTAAATGATTTCATTATTATAATAGTTATATTTGCAATGTATTAAGTTATAATTTCAAAATTGTATATTGTTATTACAATAACAATAGAGAGTTATAATACAGTTATATTGATAATAACAGTTATAAGGCATAAATACCTATTATTTCATCATGATTTATTAGTATAATTTCATATTTTTCATACTGAAAAATTGCAAAAATGAGTCAAGAGCTCATTAACAGAACTAAGAAAGCAAATAACGTCTATTACCACCTATGAATTACCATAGGAGGGAAAAGGGAAGTCCTTCAATATCCTTACATTTCTGTATGAAAGTGAAAGCTGGGCCCCACTAGACAGGTACTGGAGTAAAATTCAAGCTTCAGAGATGAAGTACCTCCGAAGAATGGCCGGCCGAAGAAGAAGAGACAAGTTTCGGAACGAAAAATATCGACAGGACCTTGGAGTGTCAGCTGTGAAATATACAAATGAAAAGAGACAGCTGAAGTGGTTCGAGCATCAGTGTCGACTGTATGAGGACCGAGAGCCAAGGAGGTTCTTCGAAGCCATACCAATCGGAAAACTTCCTCGAAAAAGACTAAGGATGAGATGAATAGACTACATCGCCAGGATGTGACAGAAGAGAGGGAAAGCGTTAAATGGCACGAAGACGCTCGGGATCGCGATGCATGGCTAACATAACCTGATAGATGCAATGAGGAAGATAAAGAAGAGGAAGTAAATAATTATTTAATATTTTATTTGCCGCGATATTAATTAAAAATATCAAAATTTATTAATATTTAATAAGAAATATTAGTTTTCTATTTAGCGTAATACTTATAGTAGTTGCAGACCGCAAACTGTCACCTTTAGCTAAAAGAGAAGAAACGTGTAAAAAAGTTACATACGACTTTTTGTACACATAGTAGCGATAATATATACTATATTAATCTCTAATTTATAGCAGTGTGGTTTTGATAAAACACATAGCGGAAATTCAATATGTTCTCATCCAATTCTTATCCACAATGATTGTGCCGTTACAAACTTTCTGATTAAAAATTCAGTTTCGGCAAACCTTTGACTTCTTTAGGAAACACAGTACTATTAATATCGTGTTATTAAACAATAATTATTGAATATAAATCTATTCAATCATATAAGAAATAAATTCATAATTTCAGATCGGATATAAGAAAAAAAAATTATGGAAACAATTTAATTAAACATACACTGACAGGCAAAAAATTCCACCCACTTAATTTTTTCATCTAAAAATATTTCTGCTTTGGATTGGTCTACTGTTTTTAATGAATAAATAGGTAATCTTTTTGTTTGTTTTCAATTAAGAATGTTAATATAGAGGACAATAACCCTTAATCCTTAATTCAATGGAATGATTCTAGATTCCAATGTTTACTTTCTATGGAATCAAAATGTTTATTTTTTTTGTGATAATATGTCGTAAATATTTGACCGATGTTAGAGGGTTCTTGCCAATGTGCCATAAGAACCGAGAAAAAAAAATATAATTTCGAGCAATATTTATGTATTTTTGTCTTTGCTTTGCCAGAATTTTTAGATTATAATATATCAATTGATTGTGTTTTTTGTGCAGAATAAGAAAAACACATTGATTATAGTATTAATTGAGTTATTGAGTATCTTTAATAACAAAAATTAAGAAACGATTCTAGTAAAGTAGATCATGTAAATATTTACTATGAAAAAGAAAGTTACATTCGTTTTTATTCATTAAAACTCATAAATATGATGTTTTTCCGGCCGTCAACCAAAGCATGCATACCTTCTGAAGATTTTATTCCAATGTTTGTACAACCACTGCAAAGCTGGACTGCCGTTCTTGAAAACCACATAAATAGGTTTTGAGATTCATATTTTTTAAGCTAGAAATTTATAAGAACTTGTCAAGCATTTTATTTAATATCTTTGGATTTAATTTGCTTATGAAGGTTGCGTTTATTCCATTTCGTGAAGCATGCAGAGCCCTAGGTCCATATTAATTTTCGTGAGATTCGGTGGAGTTATTCTGAAGCTATCCCTATTGCTTTGGTTGGTGACAAAATTTCTTAGGGTCCAGCCTAGGCAAAACTTTTAATGTTGCCATTGCAATGGAAATTTGTATTTTAGAGTTTTTCGACGTAAACCAACGACTTCCTATCCTACAGTTTCCTTTAACAATACTCCACTTATCAATGTTGAGCGAATCCGATACCTAGGACTCCACCTGGACAAACGACTAACTTGGAATCCTCATACTAGACTGAAACGACAAGAAACCGCTCGACGTTTCCGATTACTTCAGCACTTACTAGACAAACGCTCTAAACTTCCCATTAATTACAAAAGACTCATATACTTGACTATAATAAGACCTATTTGGACTTACGAAGTTGAGCTCTGGGGCTCCACTAAACCATCGAATTCCTCTCGCATCCAATCCTTACAATCCAAAATCCTTTGTAAAATCCTCAATGCTCCTTACTTTGTCACTAATAAAATTATCAATAAAGATCTTAATGTTCCTTATGTTTCAGATCTGGCCCAATCCAGATACCTATCCTTCCATAATAAACTTCAGAATCATCCCAACCCTCTCGTTTCTAACCTTGCTTCCTCTTCAATTCCTGATAACCCTCCGAGGCGTCTGAAAAGAAGATGGCCCCGTGATCTCCTAATGTAGTCATATCATTAGAGTGCTACGATTGGGTAGTTACTCAGCAAGTGTATTCATGTCATTATATCAATTATGTCCAAATTTACTTGATGTATTTATGTAATACAGTTCTAAATGTCATAAAGAAATTTAAAAAAAAAAAAGAGTTTTTCTGGGTATGTAAAAAGAATATCAACTTTGTTTATCTCTAAAATAATATTTACACCCAGATAGCCACGTAAGCAGATCAACTTTATTTCTATAAGATAGGTATCTGCGAAATATAATTTTTTCTAAACCGGCCTGGTATCTAAAGTAAAGTATTTTAGGGAGAAACAAAATTGTTATTCAAAATTTATTGGTTGACCGTTGTATATTTTAGAGGAAGGAGAGGGTCCGGGGTGGCGTTCATAAAGAGACTAAAATAGTGAGTAAACTATTTTAATTCAAGCCAACGTTTCGACCCGACTTTGCAGGTCTTTTTCAGGAGGGTGCGTTCAGCTAGGAGTTTCAGTTAAAATTTTAAAACTTTTAACTCTCATTAAAACTCCTTGTTGAACGCACCCCCCTGAAGAAGATCTCTAGAGTCGGGTCGAAACGTTGGCTTGAAATAAAATAGTTTTTTCACTATTTTAGTATCTTTATGGCCGCCACTCTGAACCATCTCCTTCCTCTAAAATTGATATTCATTTATCGTGAATACCATAAGAAAAAGTATGCTTAACAAAATATGTTGATAATTTTTCTATTACCTATGCACGACATTATCTAAAGTGTAAGTAAATTATAATAGTTATTAATAAACATTCGAAGAATCCAGATTTTTTTTATGACAAGCTAGAGAGCTCCCATGATTCTCGATGTAGGTCAGAGAACCCTTTGCCTTAGTTTTTCCTCCGATATATCTGCTAGGGAAGCTGACATTGCCTTTAGAAGTTGTGCAGTCCATTTCCCTCCCCTCCCCTCGCCCCTTCACTGTCACTCACACGAATATTTCCTGACTTTGTCCTTTCTGCGGATCGTTTTGTCAGTGACACTAGCCCCCCCTCACATTTTTCGTAAATAAAAAAAAATGTAGCACTTCATCGCCTGTTGGTGAAAGTTATGAACTAAAAACAAAGTGGAATAATTCACAAATAAAATGATAAAAAGATGTAAAAAAAAGGGGTAATAAAAATTAATTTAGTATAGTCTGAGGAAAAGCGGTAGGAAAAGATAGTAAAATCCCCTGTTATTAAAATCATATTTTTTATTGTACTTGAATAATTAATGTCACGATCTTGAATATTTCTTTCTCTTACAAAGAAATATATTAATACATAAATATATACGGAATATACATAATAAGGGAAAGTATTAGGAACGTGAAAAATTTTCGAATCCGATTATTTAAACTAAATACATAAATTCAATAAAAAAAACGTTGTTTTTGTGTATAATTTTTTTCTTTCTGCTCAACCGGTTTCGATCTTTGATCACATCGTCATCAGGCTAACTCACAGTGGTCCTCCTCTCCTGCTTGTCAAATGAGGTCCACACTGCTTGATCTGATCAAATACTGAAATCTGTTGCACAGAAGGTAAAAATATATACAGGAAAACAAAGTCTTTTTTATTGAATTTAAATTTCAATCCTGTGAAATCAAGCCTCATATCAAGGAAATACATATTTAAAAGTATCCTGATTTTCAATAACTAAAACTCACAAAATGACCTGTGTGTATGAACAGCATGGCTCAAGAAATGGAGGGTCAATATCTGGGACGCTGAAATTAGATATTTAAGTTAATTATATGACTGGGATATTACACAAACTTTTTCACGAAAATAGACTCTCATTTTGAGTTTTTTAAAGTTAAATATTCCAATTACGTATCACAAACCTAGAATGGTGTCATAACTGGAGAATAAAAATAAATTCCAATAAATCCTATCAAATTATCTTTACCTTTCGTCGTAAACCTACAACGTCTTTCCTACAATACCCTTCAATGTTATTCCACTTGTTCCTGTTGAACAAATCCGCTACCTAAGACTCCACTTGGATAAACGCCTCTGGCATGCGGCATTCTGGAACAACTGACTGAAACAACAAGATACTGCTCGACGTTTCCGTCTGTTCCAACACTTACTAGACAAACGCTCTAAACTTTCAATTAATTACAAATGACTCATCTACTTAACCATAATTAGACATATAT